CGAGAAGCACCTACAGTGACTATGCTCTTCTCCGCTGCGAGGAGGGCCTTCTCGAGGAGGTCGACGGTGAGGGTGGTGGGACAGACTGCGAGAAAGTGGTCCCTGACGACGCGAAGGGAGTCAGGGAGGCGCGCGACTACGTAGTAGAGAGCGATGTGTCAAAAGTTAGAAGAAGAAAGAGGGTTGAACTAGCAGAAATGGGGATACAAATAGCAAACCCTAGAAGGGTTGTACTCGCTATAGAGCACCCCACTACAGGCTAGAACATAAGAATAACATTCTGACGCACCCCCATAGCCAAAGTGGGGTGTAATCAGCAGAGCAAGCAAAGCAGTACAAGCTCAGGGTGGATCACAATGTCACCACACATTCTGAGCACAAGTTCAAGAAGTAAGTTCAAGTGCACAATTATGAGCAAAGCTAGTGGTGGTCACAACGGGCAAGTGAGGAGGAGGAGTGAGAGCGAGAGGAGTTGGGAGGTGACGGCTGAAGCTGCAGACACTCGGGCAACAGGAGGCACACTGGCACAGCGGCTACCGGGCGAAGCCCCCGGAATACTGGAGTAACTGGCCCCGCGGCTAAAGTAGCGGCAGACGAGCAACGGACCCACGGGCGGCTGGCACAGCTGGCTACGACTGGGCTACCGGGCGAAGCCCCCGGAATACAGGTGCTGCTGACGACACGACGGCAACCTCCATGCAGCTTCCCTAACTATCCAACTCCCCCAACACACACCCGCTGATACGCTCCTAGCTCCACTCCCACGCACCCCCCTTAAACCCTAAACCCGAGTCTCCCACACAACCACCCCCCTCAGCGACAGCTGCAGCAGTGGGAGACGAAGGAGGAGGAGAAGGGGACGGCACGCACAAACGACACCCCCACAACCATCACCCCCATACCCGTCACCCCCATACCCTGAGTGTGCGGTAAGCGAGCTCAGGTGTGCGTGAAGCGTGCACAAGCTTACGGGAAGCGAACTCGGATGTGCGGTAATCGAACTCAGGTGTGCGGGGAGGGGGGCCGCAGGGTGACGCGCGGGTCGACGGGGACGGGTGCACGGGTCCCCAGGGGCGGCGCGCGGGTCGACGGGGCCGCCACGAAGGGCGACCGGAAGCCGCGCGCGGGTTGACGGGGCCGCCGCGAAGGGCGACGAGGAGCCGCACGCAGGTCGACGGGGACGGGCGTGCGGGTCGACGGAACGCGAAACCGCCGCGTGCGCCCAAGGTGCGCGGTGGGCAGAAAACCGCCACGCGTCCCGAGCGCATGGCGTGCAGAATACCGCCGCGCAAAGCAGGTAACCGTCGCGCGCCTCGAGGCGCACGGTGGGCAGAAAACCGCCGCACGCCCCGAGCGCGCGGTGGGCAGAAAACCGCCGCGCGCCTCGAGGCGCACGGCGGGCAGAAAACCGCCGTGCACCTCGGGGCGCAGGGCGGGAAGAAAAAAATGCCGCACGCCACGGGGCGTGCGGCACAGAGAGTAGTAGTAGCAGTTGCAGCGGAAGCAACGAGGTGGTGAGCCCACCCAGAGGATCGATCCAAGGGGATCGACCTGCTCTGATAGCATGTCAAAAGTTAGAAGAAGAAAGAGGGTTGAACTAGCAGAAATGGGGATACAAATAGCAAACCCTAGAAGGGTTGTACTCGCTATAGAGCACCCCACTACAGGCTAGAACATAAGAATAACATTCTGACACGATGTACATGGGGGGTGGGTTCTTAGCGCAGAACTCAGCAGGAAGGGCGGCGCGGTAGCGAGTGTCACTAGTGCGGAGGTGCGTAATGAGGTCAGCAACAGTGGGAAAGGCAGAGAGGTCAGGAAAGAGGTAGGGAAGCATGAGACGGCTCAGTGCAGCAGTGGCAGGGGAGGAGTAGCGCGCAACTACAGCGTCGTACAAGGTCTGAGCACTCTTGTACTGACTAAAGTGCGCACGCTCAGAGGTAAGGAGGTGGCGACGCACAGCAAGACGTGCAGCAGCATCGCGGGTGGCCCACTGAGAGCGGACAGTGGGATCACCATCAGCAGCAGGAGCAGGAGAGGCGCCAGAGGTGAGGTCAAAGAGAGAAAGGTTGTCAGCCCTGTCGCACTGTAAGAACAGCTGCAGGTCGTCTAACCAGACCTCAAAATCAATGGCGCGACCCTCAGCGTCAAAAGCTAGGACACTAGGGGTAGCCATGGCGACGACAGCGACGCAGTGCAAGCAGTAGGGAAAGAGCTCGCAGTGTCAGTGGGACTGTGCTCACCAGGCAGGGCAGGTCGTGCAGCTCTGCAGAAAGGCGGCTCAGCGACCGGGCGGCTCGGGTGCACAGCGGCTCGGCTCCCGGGCGGCTCGGCGGCTGGGCGGCTCGGGCGCAGGGCGGCTCGGCTCCCGGGCGGCTCGGGTGCAGGGCGGCTCGGCTCCCAAGCGGCTCGGCTCCCGGGCGGCTCGGCGGCAGGGCGGCTCGGGTCCCGGGCGGCTCGGCTCCCGGGCGGTGCAGGGGCGGGGCCGTCAGGTGCAGCGGCGGGTCGACGGGTGCAGCGGCGGGCCGTAGGGTGCAGCGGCGGGCCGACCAGGTGAGGCGGCGGGCCGTAGGGTGCAGCGGCGGGCCGTAGGGTGCAGCGGCGGGCCGGCAGGTGCAGCGGCGGGGCCGTCAGGTGAAGCGGCGGGCCGCTGGGTGCAACGGCGGGCCGGCAGGTGCAGCGGCGGGCCGGCAGGTGCAGCGGCGGGGCCGTCAGGTGAGGCGGCGGGCCGTAGGGTGCAGCGGCGGGCCGTAGGGTGCAGCGGCGGGCCGGCAGGGCCGCGTTAGAGCCGGCGGCGGGGCCGCGTCAGTGGAGGCGGCGGGGCCACGTCAAGCAGGCGGCGGGGCCGCGACGAAGCGGGCGGCAGGGCCGCGTCAGAGCCGGCGGCGGGGCCGCGTCAGTGGAGGCTGCGGGGCCGCGTCAAGCAGGCGGCGGGGCCGCGATCAGGAGAGGTGGCGGGGCCGCGTTTGAGGGACAGCGGGGCCGCGAGGGAAATGGCGACCCGAGGGGTCGCTAAAAAAAAAGGCGCGCCTCGGGGCGCGCTTCGGTGGGCCCTAAAAAAACGGTCCTAAGGAAGGACCCGCTCTATACCATGTGAAACAAGTGAACAGGAAATGAATGAACTAGCAGTGAAATGAGTACAAGTAGGAAACCCTAGAATTGTGTACCCCCTATAGGCTAACCCACTGTAGCCTACACAAGCATAACATATATAATGTTTGACAGGCGGCACGGAAGCGGGCCTCACTAGTACGGAGGTGCGTGATGAGGTCAGCGACTGTGTGAAAGGAGGACAGGTCGGGAAACAGGTAGGGGAGGGAGAGATGGCCTAGCGTGGCAGAGGCAGGTGAGGAGTAGCGAGCAACTACGGCTGTGTACAGTGCCTGTGCAGTCTTGTGCTGCCCAAAGTGTTCGCGTTTGTCTATTGGCAGGGAGTTGCGAATAGCGAAGCGAGCGTGGGCATCACGAGTCTGCCACTGTGAGCGAGCAGTGCTGTCAGCAGTAGCAGCAGGGGCAGTGACATGGCCTAGGGCGTGATCGTACAGTGAGATGTCATCCTTGGCTGTGAGCTGTAGGTAGAGGTGCAGGTCATCGAGCCATGTGTCAAACTTCACAGGGCGGCCCTCAGCATCGAACACGAGAACCTGTGGGCTAGCCATAGGAACAGTAGAAATAGCAGCAGAAGCAGTAGGAGAAGCAGGTAGGACAAACCAGGTAGGGCAGGGCGGCGCGGCTCGGTTCAGGTCGGGGCGCGGCTCGGCTGGGTGGCGCGGCTCGGCTTAGGGCGCGCGGCTCGGCTCGGGGCGCGCAGCTCGGGTCGCGCAGCTCGGGTCACGGCGGGAACGGGCCGCCCGGGGCCTCCAGGTGGTGGGCACGGGTCGGCGAGGTCGGCATGGGGCCGGTTGGGGCCCTAGAAGGGCGAGCGTGGGGCCGATCGGGGCCTGAGCGGGGCTGGCGCGGGGCCGACGGGGTCTGAGACGGGGCCGACGGGGCCTGAACGGGGCTAGCGCGGGGCCAAACGGGGCCGTGACGGGGCTAGCAGCGGGGCCGACGGGGCCTGAAACGGGGCCGACGGGGCCTGAAACGGGGCTAGCGCGGGCCGACGGGGCCTGAGAGGGGCTAGCGCGGGGCCGACGGGGCCTCAACGGGGCTAGCGTGGGGCTGATCGGGGCCTGAAACGGGGCCGACGGGGCCTGAAACGGGGCTAGCGCGGGCCTACGGGGCCTGAAACGGGGCCGACGGGGCCTGAAACGGGGCTAGCGCGGGCCGACGGGGCCTGAAACGGGGCCGACGGGGCCTGAAACGGGGCTAGCGCGGGCCGACGGGGCCTGAAACGGGGCTGACGGGGCCTGAAACGGGGCTAGCGCGGGCCTACGGGGCCTGAAACGGGGCCGACGGGGCCTGAAACGGGGCTAGCGCGGGCCGACGGGGCCTGAAACGGGGCCGACGGGGCCTGAAAACGGGGCTAGCGCGGGCTGACGGGGCCTGAAACGGGGCCGACGGGGCCTGAAACGGGGCTAGCGCGGGCCGACGGGGCCTGAGAGGGACTAGCGCGGGGCCGACGGGGCCTGAAACGGGGCCGACGGGGCCTGAACGGGGCTAGCGCGGGGCCTGAACGGGGCCTTAAAGGGGCCGACAGGGCCTGAACGGGGCCGCTAGGGAGAGCGGGCGTGGGGCCGACGGGGCCTGAACGGGGCTAGCGCGGGGCCGTCAAGAGGGGCCTCTAGGGGCGTGACACGCCGAGGCGCCCTAGGGCACAGGTAGGTAGGTAGGTAGGTAGTTACGTAGTGGTGGGCCCTTAGAAAATTTCGGTCCTAGGAAGGACCTGCTCTATACCATGTTGGAATAACTGAACAGGAATGGATGAACTAGCAGCGAAAACAGTATAAGTACCTAACCCTAGAATTGTGTACCCCTTATAGGCTAACCCACTGTAGCCTAAACTAACACAACATATATATAATGTTTGACAAGAAAGGGGCATTGCAAGCACTGCTCACCTATTCCAGTGAGTGCACTGCGAAAACGAGAGACACGGGTTCGAATCCCACTGCCGTGATTATCCTGAGGCTGCTGAACAGAATCAGCCCGTCCAATCGCGTCACAGGATCCACGAATGCCACGCTGGCATCGTAGATGGACCAACCCAGCTCTCGCTCATACTGCACCGGCAGGTCCTCCCATAAAACGCGCATCACTCGCGCCACGCGCGCATCGGACACCTCCGCAGCTCCGCCCGCCGCGCCTACTACTTCCGCCCTCGCTGCTCCGCCTTCATCTCCCGCTGCTGCGCACGCAAGAGGGATGCGCGGATCATCCGGTCTCACGCGGAGTGTTCCCAGTGTCACTCCGTCGTTCTGCGCGCTTCTTAGAGCGCGCTGCTCTCTGGCGCGCTTCGGATTTCCCGCGCCAAAGCACAAGGCGCAGGCAGAATGAGGCGCGGGATGATAAGTGGGCTTCAGAGCGATGTCGAAATGGGAAACGCAGAGCGAGCGATCAGATTTCGGCGAGTCTGACGCGGGAAGAAATGCTGCGTGGGGAGAGGCTGCGCCGAGCGTGCGCGGGACCTGAAGGGGGAAGCGGATTGCGGCGGCGGGCGGCATGGGGAGATATTATCAAACTGGACGGCGCGAGTTGGAGGCTTGTGACAAATAGAAGGGTCGTAAGGGCAGAGTAAAAGGTGGAGCGACAAGAATGGGCGGTGATGTTTCAATATTAGAGAAGGGCACAAATCTGTGCTGCGACAAGACTTTACTAAACCGAACTGAAACCAAGACTCACCAAAGCCAACCGGATTTCATCAGCAAACTTGTCCCCCCTTCCTCTAACATCCTTCTCTTAATATCAGCCCTCACCTCAGCCGCGACGAATGCCACTGTTCTACTACCTTCACCAACCACTTCCTTTCGTCGAATTCCTCCCTCAAGCCTCCGAGTCACTCCCTATCGCGTTCGCCACCCTCGCACTAGGCGTTATCATGCCCCCACATCATCTTACGCGGCTACTCGCTCAGCCGCATTGCCATCATGATGCTTCGAGTTGTCGAAATGAGCCGCGGTGGCATTGCCAGCGGCGGCTTCAACGAGTCGTTGCCGTCGCGTCGCTCGTCGCGCTCTGCGCGTCGCTCCCGCCGCCAGCGACGGTGCGTGCTGACGTCATCCAGCCGCTGCCGGGGCTCGCCACGGCCGATGACGTGGCGCTCGCTGAGAGTACGTCGCGGTATGACTGTAGCGGGGATACTTGGCAAATGGTTACTGTAACGATTTATTACAATGGCGCCTGCCGGCCGACAAAGGATGAGAAACGCGCCTGTTCCACACCCCTATGCCCTTCCCTTCCATGGCCCCATCATGCGCTACGCGCACGACTCCGAAGGGGAGCGCAGTCTGCCCCACAGATCAACCACCCTCCCACAGCCCACCCTGCCCCTCCTGGCGGAGGCGCTCTTCGCTCACCCAGCAGCGCACCTCCCACCGCAGCCCTTACGCCTCCGCGCGTCCAATCATCTCCCCCCGTATCTCCGCTCTCCCACCATCCCACCCCTGCCCCAACGCCCAGAGGCGGCGCTGCTGTCGCTGGCGGCAGCGCTGGGCGGGCATGCGGCGTTCCGGTGGGCGGGGTGGGTGAATCAGTCGCAGGGGCTGTCGGTGCAGCAGAGCAAGCCGTGCGTGCAGTTCTGGGAGTTCCTCTCCTGCGACTCGCACGGCCGCGTCTCCAGCATGTGAGCAACTGATGGGGCGGTGGGGATGAGCAAGCCGTGAGCATTTGAGGGCACTGTGAGAGCGCGTCTCCAGCATGTGAGAGCGCGTCTCCAGCATGTGAGAGCGCGTCTCCAGCATGTGAGAGCGCGTCTCCAGCATGTGAGAGCGCGTCTCCAGCATGTGAGAGCACGTCTCCAGCATGTGAGAGCGCGTCTCCAGCATGTGAGAGCGCGTCTCCAGCATGTGAGAGCGCGTCTCCAGCATGTGAGAGCACGTCTCCAGCATGTGAGAGCGCGTCTCCAGCATTTGAGAGCGCGTCTCCGGCATGTGAGAGCGCGTCTCCAGCATGTGAGAGCGCGTCTCCAGCATGTGAGAGCGCGTCTCCAGCATGTGAGAGCGCGTCTCCAGCATGTGAGAGCGCGTCTCCAGCATGTGAGAGCGCGTCTCCAGCATGTGAGAGCGCGTCTCCAGCATGTGAGAGCGCGTCTCCAGCATGTGAGAGCGCGTCTCCAGCATGTGAGAGCGCGTCTCCAGCATTTGAGAGCGTGTCTCCGGCATGTGAGAGCGCGTCTCCGGCATGTGAGAGCGCGTCTCCAGCATGTGAGAGCGCGTCTCCAGCATGTGAGAGCGCGTCTCCAGCATGTGAGAGCGCGTCTCCAGCATGTGAGAGCGCGTCTCCAGCATGTGAGAGCGCGTCTCCAGCATGTGAGAGCGCGTCTCCAGCACGTGAGAGCGCGTCTCCAGCATGTGAGAGCGCGTCTCCAGCATGTGAGAGCGCGTCTCCAGCATGTGAGAGCGCGTCTCCAGCATGTGAGAGCGCGTCTCCAGCATGTGAGAGCGCGTCTCCAGCGTGTGAGAGCGCGTCTCCAGCATGTGAGAGCGCGTCTCCAGCATGTGAGAGCGCGTCTCCAGCATGTGCGAGTGCGTCTCCAGCATGTGCGAGCGCGTCTCCAGCATGTGAGGCCGTGAGGGGGCAATGGGGACGTTCTTGTGCAGGTGGTAAGGGAAGAGACGGCAGATTGGGCAGGGAGGCGCCTCACCCCTCTCCGACCTTCCCCTGTCTTCATTCTTTCCACCCTCTCCGCTCTTCTCCATTCCGTAATTTACTGATCTCCACTCCACCTTCTTCCCTTCACCCTTTTCCTCCATTCCCCCCTCCCCTCTCGTCCCTTTCTCCCCCCTTCCTTCCGCCACCAACCACAGCAACATTGCCAATCCTACTCTGGCAGTCATCAATGCATCGTGGGCCAATCAGAAGACGCCAGGTGGCTTAAAGGGGTCGATCCCCTGGGATTCCCTCACGGCGCTGGAGCACCTGCAGGCCGTTGATCTGTCGGGCAACTCCATCTCTGGCTCTCCGTTCACTGCTGCCATCTCCAAGTTCACCGCGCTCAGAGACATGTGAGTGGGGGGGGGTGGGGAGGGTGAGGGGGATGAGAGTGAGGGGGATGAGAGTGAGGGGGATGAGTGTGAGGGGAATGAGAGTGAGGGGGATGAGAGTGAGGGGGATGAGAGCGAGGGGGATGAGAGTGAGGAGGATGAGAGTGAGGGGGGTGAGAGTGAGGTGGATGAGAGTGAGGGAGATGAGAGCAACGGCGTTGAGAGTGGGGGGGATGTGGCGAGGAGGTTGAGCGCTTAAGGGATTTGAGTAAGGGGGAATGTGAGTGAGGGGGGGTGTGTGAGGGTGGTTGACGGTCAAAGAAGAGAGTAGAAGGATGCGAATGAATTGTTAGCGATTGCATTTCAACCGCTCGGCCTCAACCCCCACCCCCTCCCTCAACCCCCCTCCCTCGCCCCCCACCCCATGCACCCCCCTCCCTCGCCCCCCACCCCATGCACCCCACTCTCCTCGCCCCACCGTAACTTCACGGTCACACCCTTGCCATTCGGCTCTCACCCCATACCCACCTCCCTCATCCCCGCGACCCCCTTGTCTCGTGCCTCTCGCCGTGCAGAGCGTCTCCATCTCTTTCTGTGCTCACTGCATGCGTCCCCACCTTCTTTTGAGTCGACTCAAAAGTCCATCTTTTCCCACGCTCACTGCATGCATCCCCGCCCTCTGAACCCCCAACGCACTTCTTAAACCCTTCACGCACCCCCCGGAACCCCCATGCACCCCACTCTCCTCGCCTTCTCTTTCTTCCTCCCCCTCCCTCCCCCGCCCATCTCCCTCCGTCTGCCCTTTTTCTCTCACCTCCCCTTCCCCTCTCCCCCCCCCTCCCTCCCCCCTCTCTCCCGCCTCTCCCCCATACCCAACGCCCATCCCTCCGCGGCAGCCAGCTCGCCCGCAACGCCCTGGATGCGCCTCTGGGGGGCGAGCTCTCCGCACTCTCCAACCTGCAGAAGCTGTAAGCCCTGTCCTGTCTCGTTTTGAGGCGCTCAGAAATAGACTCTGGTAAGCAAGCTCCCCATGCTCTTCAACTCAATATGCAAGAAGCTGTGAGCTCTGGGCGGGGCTGCGGTTGTGGTAGGGGCTGCTTTGGTTGGCGGGTCAAGAGTGGTAGCAGGGGTGTCGGTGTGCGGTGCTGCTGCCGGCCGGGGCAGGTTGTAGGTAGGAAAAGAAGGTTCTTTGTTAAGGTACTGAAATTAGAGAAATCAGCTTGTGGGGATGTGTCATGTGAGCATGAGCTGTGATGGTGCTGAGTTGACTTGATCAACCTGAAAGCGGGTTGGTTGAGCAAGTTCAGGCGTCCCTTCCTTACCAGCCTCACCTCCCACGCATTCCCTGCCCTGCCCCCCTCCCCATCTCCCTCCCCATCTCTCTCCTCAGCGACCTGAGTGGTAACCGCATTCCCGGCGCCCTGCCCGTAGGCCTGTCCGCCCTGACAGCGCTGGAGATTCTCTCCCTCGCGTCCAACCAGCTTGCTGACTCCTTTCCCTCAGGCCTCTCCGCACTCACTGCCCTCAAACACCTGTGAGCACTCACTGCCCTCAAACACCTGTGAGCACTGCGCTAATGTTCGAAGCTATCCTGCTAGTGTATTTTGCAAATAGGTTCTTTTTTTAGTTGCCATGCACTACCAACCACTAGTTCTCCTCCCATATTCCTCATCAAATTAAGAAGTTAGCATGATTCCCATGGAATGGGAACTGCAGTGCTGGACACCACCATCTGCAGTGCTGGACACCACCATCTGCAGTGCTGGACACCACCATCTGCACTGCTGGACACCACCATCTGCAGTGCTGGACACCACCATCTGCAGTGCTGGACACCACCATCTGCACTGCTGGACACCACCTGAGATTCTCCAATTCTCAGGGAATGGCATGGGGACTGGAGTTTCCATCCAATGATTCTCAGTGCCCTTACTCAAACACGATGATTCCCCATCATCCCATCAACCATCCCCTATCACCCATCTCCCCATCCCACCCATCACCCCATCCCCTCATCACCCATCCATCACTCATCCCTCCATCATCCATCACTCATCCCTCCATCATCCATCACTCATCCCTCCATCATCCATCACTCATCCCTCCATCATCCATCACTCATCCCTCCATCATCCATCACTCATCAACCCATCAACCCATCACCCCATCCTCCATTCCCCACTCTCCATCCCCCCTTCCCCACCCTCCATCCCCCATTCCCCACGCCCATCACCTCATCCCCAAACCCATCACCCATCTCCAACCCCATCACCCATCCCTCTTCCCCCATTCCCCCATCGCACCCATTCCCCCATCCACCCATCCCCCCATCCCATCCATTCCCCCAACCCATCCATCCCCCCATCCCACCAATCCCCCCATCCCACCCATCCCCCCATCCCACCCATTTCTCCATCCCACCCATTCACCCATCCACCCATCACCTCACCAGCGAGTTGGGCAGCAACACCTTCAGCGGGCCCCTGCCCGACAGCTGGAGCGCTCTCTCCGGCCTGCACCTGCTGTCAGTGCTGCCCCTCGCTCCTTCCCTGCCTCTTGTTCTGCCTCCCCATAAGCGTCCCCGCATGTTGCCACCACATGTAAGCTTCACCGTGTCTTATTGCGCTCTTCTGTTAAACCCCTGCCTGAACACCGCCCCTTCCAATCCCCTCTTCCATCACTCCATTCCAATCCCCTCTTCCATCACTCCACCAGCGCCCCATCCCTCTCCCTACGGCGCCCTCCCTCCCCCCCTTCGCTCCTCTCCCCTCTCCTCCCCTCATTCCCCTACCTTTCCTTTTTTTCCCCTTCCACTCCGCCCATCCCCCCGCTCCCCTCTTCCCCTCTTCCCTCCCCTCCCCTCCCCACTTTCCCCTCTTGTATCCTCCCCCCCCCCTTCCATCCCCCCGCCACCCCTCTTCCCTCCCGTCCCTTCCCCCCCTCCCCTTTATCCCGCTTCCCTCCCCTTACGTACCTCCCCTCCCCTCTCCTCTCCTCTCCTCTCCTCCCCTCCCTCTTTCCAGCGACCTGGCCGGTGCGGGGGTGCGCACCCCGCCACCGGACTCATGGGCAGCGCTCTCATCGCTGGAGATCGCCTCTCTGCAGCACAGCGATAACCTCACTGCGCCCTTCCCCTTTCCCACCCCCAGTGACTTGGCTAGTGCAGGAGTGCGCACCCCGCCACCGGACCCATGGGCAGCGCTCTCATCGCTGGAGACCTACCCCCTCCCCCTACCCACTCCCCCTACCCCCTCCCTCTTTCCCCTCCCCTACCCCCTCCCCCTTCCCCTCTCCTCCCCTCCCTCCTCCCAGCGACCTGGCTAGTGCAGGAGTGCTCACTCCGCCACCGGACTCATGGGCGGCACTCGCATCACTCGAGATCGTCTCGCTGCACAGCAACAACCTCACTGCACCCTTCCCCGCCTTCCTGCTGCAACTGCCCAACATCTCCGACATGTGCGTCTCTGTGGGTTTGGTGTGTGTGTGTGCGGGTGTGTGTGTGTGTGTGCAGGTGTGTGTGTGTGTGTGTGTGTGCGTGTGTGTGTGTGCGGGTGTGTGTGTGTGTGCGTGTGTGTGTGTGTGTGAATGTGTGTGTTTGTGTGTTTGTGTGTGTGTGTGTGTGGCTGCTGCTGCTGCGGCGGCACTCCTCTTTCCCTCCCTTCTACTGCATTGCTGCTCCTATTGCATCATTCGCCACGAAGCGACTTTAATCACCACGCATCAGTTCTCCGTAGAAAAGGTTTTCACCCCCCTTTTTCCAACCCCTGTTTCTTTGCCTCCTTTCCTTCCCCTTTACCCCATTCGTTTTCCTTTCTGGTCCACCCCCAACTCCCCCACACCGCAGAACGCTATTCAGCAACAGCCTATATGGCAGTCTGCCAGCCACCCTCTGGAATCCCACCAAGCTCACCTTCGTGTGAGTAGCAACCCAATCCAGTCATCCACACATTCCCGTATGCATAGGTAAATACGCTATGTGGTTCCGGACATCCAAGTTAATTTTCTCTCTTTTTTTATTTCACCCCGCCCTGCTCCGTTCAGTAAGGCCCTGCCCCATTCATCCCTCCCCTCCATACCCATACATGCGCATCCACCATCGCAACCATCACATACCAGTACCATCGCCTCGTCTCCATCTGTCCACCACCCGCCCCTCCAAACCACCCCCTCCCCCCTTCTCCCCTTCTCCCCCCCTTCTCCCCTTCTCCCCCCCTTCCCCCCTCCCCAGCGAGGTGTCCTCCAACTACCTGGACAGGTCGGCTCCTCAGTCTCCTGGTTTTTGAAAATTCCACCACCCTCTCCTCTCACCGCCTCTCCTCTCACCGCCCCGCCTCTCCTCTCACCACCCTCTCCTTTCACCGCCTCTCCTCTCACCACCCTCTCCTTTCACCGCCTCTCCTCTCACCGCCCCGCCTCTCCTCTCACCACCCTCTCCTTTCACCGCCTCTCCTCTCACCGCCTGCCCCTCCACATTCCCCCCCTCCACCTCCTACCCCCCCAAGCGAGGTGTCCTCCAACTACCTGAACGGGTCGGCCCCTCAGCCTCCTGCCGGCCGCTCTGCTCAGTTCAGGTGCTGCACGCCCCCTTTGCGTCCACCTCCAGGTGCACTGCTGCAGGTGCACTGCTGCAGGTGCACTGCACCAACATGGCTGCGATGCTGGTTTGCTGATTGAAAAGCACAGCCTATGGCTTTCCCGGTCTAAAAACATCATTTCTATGAGCTTCTCACAAGCACATGTGCTCTTCTGCTGCCCATCTTTCCCAAACCTCTCTTCCTCTCCCTTCTCCCCCCATACCCCCACCAGCCACAGTAGCAACTGCCTGGACCAGGCGCCCTCCCAGCGCCCCACAGACCAGTGCTCGCGCTTCTACTCCAACCTGCCCGCTCTCATGCAATCTGGTACCCCTTGCCCCTCCCCCACTCTCCTTGGCACTGCTGCTCGCGCTTCTACTCCAACCTGCCCGCCCTCATGCAATCCGGTAGCCACTCCCCTTCCCCTCCCCGCCCCTCTCCCCGCCCCTCTCCCCGCCATCCCCCCCTCCCCTTCCCCCCCTCCCCTTTCCCCCCTCTCCTGTCACCCCTCGTCGTTGCTTCCACAGTGTAACGTTGCTCCTGTGGCACCTTCTATTCGTCCCCATAGGGACTCATGTTTCTCGCCCAGCCATTTCACTTAAGCTCGCCGTGTGCCATGCATCACGCGGCATACACGATGCACCGTACACCATACACCATACACCATACACCATGCACCATGCACCATGCACCATACACCATGCACCATGCACCATGCACCATGCACCATACACCATACACCATGCACCATGCACCATGCACCATACACCATGCACCATGCACCATGCACCATGCACCATACACCATACACCATGCACCATGCACCATACACCACGCACCATGCACCATACACACCATGCACCATGCACCATTCACCATACACCATGCACCATGCACTCTGCACCATGCACCATGCACCATGCACCATGCACCATGCACCATACACCATACACCATGCACCATGCACTATGCACCATGCACCATGCACCATGCACCATACACACCATGCACCATGCACCATTCACCATACACCATGCACCATGCACCATGCACCATGCACTCTGCACCATGCACCATGCACCATTCACCAAACACCATGCACCATGCACTCTGCACCATGCACCATGCACCATGCACCATGCACCATGCAGCATACACCACACACCATGCGCATTCAACCTGGTGACACACCTCCCCCCATGCACGCCCCCCTCCAGCTGCAGAGAAGGCTAATCCCAAAGGAGCTGCAGCTCTCACCTCCCTGCCATCTGCATCCGCTGCAGTCGCTGCAGCAGCACTGCTCATCTCACTCTCCCTGGTGCTGCTGCAATAGCACGCTGGCACACTGGCACACTGGCACACTGGCACGCTGGCACGCTTGCTGTAGAAGATTGTAATTTAAACTTATTCTGCGAGGTATTTCTATTGGAAGGCTATCCTGGTTGTACCATGGCTGCGGGAATGCTAAAGCACCTTGGTTATTCCAACAGCCCCTCAGAACACCTGGTGCAGCAGCACTTTGTTTCTTCATGCCTTTGCAACACCTGCACCACCTTATCCCTCCACACCACCTTCATTCCTCATATCCTCCCCGCTCTGGTGGCCGAGGTCTCTGCTGCGCTTCTCAACCTGCAAAAGCTGCAAGCACTGTGCCTCTGCTGGGGCGGGGCTGCTTCAGTGGGTGGGTACGGTAATGGGTGGTTGTTGCAGTGAGTTTCAGTGAGTGCTCAGTAGGCAGTGCTGTTGGTTGAAAGGCAGTGAGCAGGAGGTATTAGAGGTCGCGCAAAGAGAACTAGAGAAGTCGGTTTGTGAGGAGGGGACCGAAACGTGGGGGAGGGGGTGCATGAGCTGTCGCCTTGATAGATACGAAGAGTTTAGGGTTTAGAGGGGCTGTTCACAAAGAGGTGTCCCATACCACCCTAACCCTTCAACAGTATCTCCTCACACCTATTCATTCGCTACCCCTCAATCTACCCTTATTCCATGGAACTGAGTGGTCACTGTGGTCACAGGCCTGACTTCTGGTCAACCCTAAACCGTGAACCCGAAACCCTTCATCCCTATCCCTAAGCTTAGAAAAGAGGTTCTCATACTCATGCGAGATGACCTTCATACTGAAAATGTATTGTTGCCGTTACTGGTGTTGCAAAATTCAGACCACACAAACCAATGCCAACAGTTCTTGCTATTCGATCCTTTCGTCACCGATCCGTAAACAACATGCAAAACTACCTACGCTAGACCTCAAGCTGGCACCAATGCCTACACCAACGTCTCACAGACTCTCTCCATTGTGGTCTCATTCAACAGTCACATGACCAGGGCATGTGCTGTCTCAACCGCACAGCCAGCTTCATCACATTCATTCTCCACTTCAACAGCCTCTCTTATCGGCTCCTCCTCCAGAATCCACTCCATGTTCCAAGGGCAGATTCAAACAACCACGCAGATCAGCAGCAGCAGGGAAGCCACTGGAGCCATGGCAATGCCAGCAATGGCTGCTGCTGCTGACAGGCCAAGGGACTTGGTGGTGGACTTTGCAGGAGGGGGGGGTGATGCTGGTGATGCTGGTGATGGTGCGGATGCTGGTGATGCTGGTGATGCTGGTGATGGTGCTGATGCTGGTGATGCTGGTGATGCTGGTGATGGTGCTGATGCTGGTGATGCTGGTGATGCTGGTGATGGTGCTGATGCTGGTGATGCTGGTGATGGTGCTGATGCTGGTGATGCTGGTGGGGCAGTGGGGGGAGGGGGGGAATGGACATGAAAGGGGAAGGGATGGACATGGGAGGAAGGGATGGACATGGGAGAGGAAGGGACCACAGCGGCTGCAAGCAAGAGGCGGGACAGCGACAAGGGTTTGAACAGCTTAACATTGGTCCAGCACAGTAGATTCTGCAGTCCAAGAAGAGCAGTGGGACTGCTGATGCTTGCCACTGCTGCTCTGAACGGCATGTTGGAACCCTTCACGCGTGACGAAGAGTGGGTTCCAGGAGAGTGGACATACGCACTGAAACAGAATGGCGGAACTCGAATAGAAAGGCTCTTACAGGATTGAGACGACAATGAAAGGGGGATGGCTGAGAAAGTTAGTCCTGACTCACGAGGTGCTGGCTCACGAGGTGCTGGCTTGCCGCAGGTGGAGCAGGAGGGGCAATGGAGGCAGAAGGTGCTTTCAGGTTGCTGCTGCGCTGCCAGACATGGAGAGTAGTCAGCAGGGCAGGTGAGGCCACTTGCAGTCAGATTCCTGCAGGTGCACAATATACACAGGAGCACAATATACACAGGAGCACAATATACACAGGAGAGGGTCATTGCTAAGATCTCAGTTCCAAAAGCGGTCACTTCAAAAGGGTTAGAGGCACAATCTTCATGCCACACAGCTCATTGCAATTCTTCGATACCGGTCCTTCATAAAACACCAATCTCTTGATTGGCCGAGTTGCATTGGTGGCTCAGCACACCTTTACCCCTATGAGAAAGGGTTTTGGCTGCAGTTCAAACGAGAATCGGAAAAGAGCTGCCACTCATACAAGAAGAGCGCTCACAAGAAAGAAAGTTGGTCGAGGTTGTTAATTCGCTCTGAGACACTGCCCGTTAGGATGTTGTTGGAAAGGTCTCTGATTAGACAAACATGGGGCATGCACAAAGAATGTTAACATACCACTGATGGAGAAACAAACAGAAGGGATTGTCAACTTAAGGTGGAAAAACATTTTCACGAACAACTGATAACATACAAGTATACTAAGTTGGTGAGGCGCGAAAACGATGGCATGGAGCCCGACAGTGAGTCTGATGAAAGGCTCCTGCAAGCAAGTGAGGCACGCAAAGGATGGCATACATGGTGTGAACAAACATCAGCAAAGGATGGCATACATGGTGTGAACAAACATCAACAAAGGATGGCATACATGGTGTCAACAAACATCAACAAAGGATGGCATACATGGTGTGAACAAACATCATAAAAGGATGGCATACATGGTGTGAACAAACATCAACCAAGGATGCATACATGGTGTGAACAAACATCAACAAAGGATGGCGTACATGGTGTGAACAAACATCAACAAAGGATGGCATACATGGTGTGAACAAACATTAACAATGGATGGCATACATGGTATGAACAAACATCAACAAAGGATGGCATACATGCGCACGTCTGGACTTTGAGCTAACGATGACCTCTGGCACCAGCGCCTCAGTCGCCCCTCCCGCACAACACCGAAGATTTGTATCGAGGCAAGCGTGTTTGCGCCTGGCGCACTCCTGCGCCCTGAAGGCTCCTGGCAATGTCAGGCCGCGTGTGGTTGGCCGCATAGTTGAGCGCCCCAACCATGGAATGAAACAGCTTCCTGTCACTCTCGCCCACCACCTCTTCATCAGCACAGGGCTCCACAGTGACCCCTGAATGCAGTAGGGTTGCTGGCTTTCCTCCATCTTGCAGCCCATAATTCTCAGCCAACCCCTCACAATACTTCCTCTGGTGCAACGTCAACACTCCCTTGTCAAGGTCCCTCTCCACATGCATCCCCAGATAGTACTTCACATCTCCCATCTTGGAACACTTGAACTGCATCTCCAGCATCTCCTCCACACGATCAATCATCGCAGATGACAACGAGAAGAGGAGGGTGTCGTCCACATACACCAGGAGCATGAGGAACTGCTCCTTCTCTTGCAGTAGGAACAAGCTGTGATCACATTCGCCCTTCTTGAATCCCCCAGCCAGCAGTGCCTCCTCCAGGTTGTGGTACCATGCACGAGGAGCCTGCTTCAAGCCATAGATGGCCTTCTTCAGCCTGCACACCTTGCCGCTCCCATCATCCAACCCCTCAGGCTGCAGCATGTACAACTCCTCCAGAATGATCCCATTCAGGAAAGCAGTCGAGATATCCATCTGCATGATCCTCCATCCGTGGTTTGTAGCTATTGCCAACGACGCCCTTAGTGTTGTCCCTTTCCCCATAGGAGCAAAAGCATTCGTCAAAGTCCTTCCCCTTTGTCTGCTAGAACCCCTTAGCCACAAGCCTTGACTTGTAGCGGGTCAGCTCCCCATCAGATCCGTACTTGTGCCTGAAGATCAGCTTGGAAGAAATGGCCTTCTTCCCAGGAGGCAGCTCACACAACTCCCATGTCTCATTCTGCAGCAGCGAGTCATACTCCTCCTTTACACTCTGCTTCCACTTCTTAGCGCCGGGCCCGCTCAGTACCTTAGCTAGAGTCCTGGACTCAGGGACGGCTGCCCAGTAGCATTGTGCTATCTCATCCTCATCACACTGCTCAGCCACACTTCCAGCATGCTCCACATTCTGTGAGCCACAGCGATCATAGCTCAGCCTGACAGGTGGGCGCACATCCCTCGTAGGACGCTCAGGCGGATGTGGGGCACGTGGTGGAGCACGTTGGTGCGGCTGCTGCTGCTGCTATTGCTGCGGCTACTACTGCTGCTGCTGCTGCTACTCCACCACCTCAGGTTCTCCCTCATCCTCAGTCACCCCAGAGATCTCATCGGACACAAAAACCTCCACCTGTTTTGAAGGCCGCTGCGCCTCATCGGCCTCAACAATCAATGGTGTAGCAAGAAGCTTCTGCTGCTGCTGCTTCCACTCCTTGTGGTACAGTGACTCAAGAAACTTCACATCCCGCAAAACAGTCATCTTCTGGCTGGTCAAGTCCCACACCAATCAGCCCTTGTGGTCCTTTGCAATCTTCACATGCACACCCCGTCTCCCAGAAGCTTCCAGCTTTCCCCTCTTCTCCTTAGGCACATGAAACACCACCATGCAGCCGTAGGCTCTCAGCATGTTGACTGCTGGTGCACTCCCATACCACTTGGTGTAGGGGACCCATTGCTTGTCCCCCACAGTTGCCAGCACCCTGTTCTTCACAAAGGCGACCTGCCGCAGTGCAGTCACCCAAAACGGATCAAGCAGCCCTGCACGCCCAAGGAGAGTGCGAAACCTTCATGTAGGGTCGGCTGAACCGCTCAGCCATGTCGTTCTCCTGAGGGTTGTAGGGCACTGTGAGCTGATGCTGAATGCCCTTCTTCATCAGCACCGCCTCAAACTCATTGCCAATGAACTCTCCTCCGTTTTCTGTGCGGATCACCTTCACCTTGTGTCCTCTCTCCCTTTGAGCTTTTGGCATCCACTCCTTGAAAACAGCCCCTGCCACCTCCCCCTTAGTCCTGAGGGGGTACACCCACACCGCACGCGTGTGGTTGTCCATAGTGGTTAAGTAGCATCTACCCGAGAGAGAAGGGGCCCTCGTAGGGCCCACCACATCCATGTGCACAAGCGCAAGTGGAGCCTTGGCTGGTCCCGTGCTGCTGCTGAAGGGGAACTTGGTGAACTTCGTTTCAAGGCATGTAGGGCAGCTCCCAATCTCCTTTGCTGCCCCCTTCACCTCCAGCCCCTTCAAGCTCCCATTCTTCACCAAGTTTTGCAGCATAGGGATGTTGATGTGACACAACCTCTTGTGCCATGTCTCCCAATCGGCATCACCATTCCCAGACGAAGCCTTTGCCCATGCAGCCGTCCCATCCACACCAGCAAGCATCTCACCATGTGACTGCTGTGGCTGCTGCACCTTCTTGGCTGCTTCGAGGGCCCCATCACTTGGTGCAGTCTGCTCTCCTCCCGCAGTTGCCTTCGCCGTTACTGCTGCCGCTGCCATTAGTGGAGGTTTCCCATTCCAAGGGATGATGGGCAGCTGCCACAGGTCCTTGATGCAGCTGTTCGTCTCCTCCAGATCCCACAACAAGAGCTTCCCAAGCTTCGCAGGACAGGTGGTTGGGCCAAAGGTCACTTTGGCCTTGCTCTTCTGCAACCGGTGCACAGAAAGAAGGTTAGCGGACAAACCTTCAACCAACAGCACATTCCCCAGCCCCTCAAGCCCCCGATTGGCTCCTATTACCTTGGCATTCCCAACACCAATAACAAGGAGCAAAGCATCTGAAGCGGCAGCCACAAACCTATTGAGGGGTGCATCACAACTTTCCCAACTGAACCCACATCACCCTCATTCCCTTTCACATCCTCAACCATGAGGAACATCCCAGGGTCGGCTTTACCTTGTGCACCATTACCATGTGCACCTGAACCTTGCACAACGCCACCTCGAGCACGTTCACCACTTGGCGGCTTCATGCCTGGAGGCGCCCATCCCTCAGGCCGGCTGAAACACTTGAACCACGGATGTCCAACCTTCTTGCAGTACCAGCAAGCTCCCTCCATTCGGGTTCTCCACCTGCTATCAGAGCTCCCATGCCTCTCATTGTAGTTACCTTGGCCTCTCCCTCTTCCAAAGTCTCTCCCACGGCCTCGGCCTCTCCCACCCCCTCTTCCTCTGCTGCCTCCTAAAGCTCCAAGCCCCTCAGCAGTTTTGTTGGCAGCACCGCCTCCCGTGTGGCGCCTACGGAAATCCTCCAGCAGAATCTGCTGCCGTAGCCACTCAGGTGTCCACTAGTCCTGCTGATTGTTGAGGGTGAGGTTGTCCCACGAATTGTCGAGCAACGAGATGATCTTGGTGCACTGCTGCATTTGTGACATATTGCTGCCCGCCGCTGCCATCCTCGCATAGGGAGTCCTTGATCTCGTCAAGGACCGGCTTCAGATCGTCGCCCGGTCGCATGGAGAGGGCAGCCAGCTCCTTCTCCAACACAATCACCATCGGCAGCGTGTTGGGCTGAATCACATTGCGCGGTAGCTTCCACGCCTTTGGTCTGGAATCATCCAACTCCACCAAATCCTTGATGTGTTGGAACATGTTGTTGTTGACCGATTGAAGGATTAGGTCGTACAGCACCGCGCTCTTCTCAATCCACCGTTCGCGGGCGTCGCCTTCCTGTGGCATCTTCTATTCTCCCATCACAAGTTTCAGCAGCTTGTAGCGCTTAAACACACTCCGCATTCGCCCGCTCCATTCCTCATAGTTGGAGCCATCTAATGCCTCGATCTTGGATGGTGGCGTCTCATTCCTATTCTCAGCTGCACCTCCACTCCCTTAACTCATTTCCTCTACTCCCAATCACAGGTTCCAGCTCCCCCTTTGCTGTCCACACCGAAGTCGCACAGATTTCTTACAAGTGTCGACGCCAACGAAAATTTGGCAGAGTTTCCCCTTAGCGGAAGTCACGTCCAACATTCAGGACACCACTTAGGCACGCCCACAGGCCATGGTGGGTCTAGCAGGTTTTTCACACTTCAGTAGACTTCCTTAATCAGCTCTGGTACCACTTGTTAGAGATCAAAGACAGAGTCTTTGAAGATTAGGGGCCGAAATATCTCAAAATCGTTGACTACAATTCTGGATCGAAATGTCGTCGTCACAAGAAATGCCGTCGGCAACAAACGCACCGTTAGAATTCTCTCAAACTCGAGTATGTTGTAGCCCTTGACTGTGGCTATCCATCCCAATTTGAAACATATCAAAGATGAAGTATAACTCGAGTTATGAATTTCGGCGCACTATGGGGTATGCTGCCATAGAGAATTAGAGTAGCTAGAAACCAGGTAGGAGGGAAGAGGAGGACGAGAGGGAAGGTCCCAAGAGAGTCCCCAACCGAGAAAACCTCATGCCACACAATTCCCCTCTCTATAGGTACCCAGCTTGCACCCTTATCATTTTCCCAACATCCACAATCCACCTCACCCCAACTTGGCCTCACTTGCCAACCTGGTTTGGCATCTCCCAACCAGTTTGCATCATCTACAGTGATGGGGACGAATTTCCCAACCCCAAAAGACCGGACCCCATATTGAGTCAACCCGCAAATTCCCATAGTCGCCGCATCACAGTCAAAACTTTGAACGATCATAACTTACCCGTTCTTGCTCCGATCGCAGCGATTCTTGGTTCGTCGGAAAGCTCTCAAGCAGAAGAGTCATTACAGTTATCTGCTCAAGCAGAATAACATCCACACACTTAGAGAATCCAAAGCACACCGAACACAAATTCTTGCACACACTCACACCACGCATGCAACGCACGAACATATGATGGGAGGCGTACAGACGTGAATGCAAATGATAGCATCACATAACACAAGCGAGGACGGGGCCACATCCATCTCCCATTCACGCTCCCCTGCCGCGTTCACGCTTGGGCCCCCAGCCCACACGGCAGCACCATTAGGAGAATAGCTCGTCAGCGTGCACCCAACACACAGCACGCCAGCCACCGCACCAGCCATGCAAGAGGGCATGGCACCTATTGCTGCACATCGTCGTCGCCGTCACCCACATCGACCAGGCGCACTTGGCCGATAGCGGCGGAGCACCGGTTGAAGGCCAGAAAGTGCAGCACCTTCGTCAGGAAGTCAGCCGGCTGCTCGGTGGTTAGGATGTACTTCAACGAAATTTTCCCGCGCTTCACCATGTGCTGCAGCCAGGCCTGTTGCTGCTCCATGTGCTTGAGGTTTCCTGTCAACCCCAGGACCTTAGCGACCGTGATTGGCAACTTGTTGTCCACCCGAAGGACAGTCAGCTTCACGGCATCAAGCTGCCGGAATTATGCAAGAAGGAAGTGAAGGCGGCGTCCCTCCTTACCGGCTTCCGTGGCCGCCACGTACTCCGACTCGGTCAACGACAGCGTCGCGCACTTAATGCGCTGGCTCGACCAGGAGACTGCGGCCCCTCCGTAGACAAACACATAGCCTCCCGTGCTCGTCTTCTTCTGCTTGTCGCCAGCATCGTCAGTGTCCATGTAGCCGACCGGCTCCAGTGACTCAGATTCATTGCTGGACTCCAGGGCGGTGTTGCGCATGTTCGGGGTGCGCCCGTTCTGCTCCTTGTCAAAGAACCGCATACGCAGCTTGTCGGCGTAGCCCTGCTGGTGCAGCCACAGCTTCCTCGTCGGCCTGTCGCGCACGATCTCCGGCCCGAGGTGCTTCTACACCAGCGAGATCTCACGCAGCTCGAAGGCGGCCTCCAGCCGCTCCTTCAGCTCCTTCAGCATCTCGATGCTGCTGCTGGCGGTGAGCAAGTCGTCAACAGAGACTAGCACCCAGCAGGCCACCTTGTTGACACCGACCTTGAAGTAGAGCCCGTGTCGACCTGGCTCTTCTTCTAGCCGGCGCCGACCAGCACATCATTGAGAGCCTTGTACCACAGCAACGGAGACCGTTTCAGCCGGTAGAGGCTCTTCTACAGCTTACACACCCAGCCGGTTCCGTCGTTGAAATAGTCCGACTGGTACATGTACAGCACCCAGTCGAACTTGCTTTGCTTCATGTCGAGCTGCATCGGGTTAAGGTTGAGGACGGCAACGATGTTGCGGATCTCTTCTTCCATGGCGGCCTTCACCGCCTTGCCCTTCCAGCTTCCCAGTGTTTCCTTCACCGTCATCGTCGAGATGTCCCAACGGTGTCCACATCGATCACAGGTAGGGGCGTCCGGGCACTCGCAACTTGTGTTCCTCGCTTCCGCAGGTTGAGCAGGCTGGCGGGTTGTGACAGTCACGCTGAAGGTGGCCCGCCTTGCCACAGTTGTGACACTTCCTCTTCTCTCCCGCTCGCCGAGGCAGGCGCTCTTGCTCCACCAATTCTGCAGTGCACGCTGATCGCCATCGCTGCCCCCCTCGCTCCGGAGCGGCCTCAATCTCGTACAATCTCCGGCCCGTCTCCACCCGCTTCACCACCTCGTATGCTTCCTTGAGCGTGGCCCTCGCACTCATGTCAAACACACGCACCTGTACATCCCGCCGTAGATCATAGCTCAGCCCGTTCAGAAAATTTCTGATTAACCGTCCTTGATCGTGACAGGTCATGTCCTCAGCTAGCTCCACCAAGCGACCATATTATGCTAGTAGAGACTCTCCTGTTCGGTGCGTGAAGTCTCGAAATTCCGATGTACGCTCTGGCGTTTGCACCTGGAACTTTTCTTCTAACATGCCCAAGAACCGTGTCATGGGATCCCTTACCTCTGGTGCCGCTCTCGCCGCCCAATCCAATAGCTCTCTCCGGCTGATGCGGTAGTATGTTTCCGCCTCCCCAGTCAGCGTGTTCGCCAGACCACGAAAGAACTCTTCAGGATCCAGGCGATCTCGTTCCCAGCGTGCTCGTAGGTTCTCCACTTGCATCACGTAATTCTTTATAGAGGGTCCCCGCTGCGTGTCGTCGGAGAATCGTTCCGGTACTTCGATCTTAGTCAGCAAAGTGTACTTCCAGCGTTGCACCTACGCCTCTTCCTGCCACAAAGCGCTCTGTTGATAGGAGCCGTGCTCCGCTTCCTCCCTTGCACTTCGCATCGATCGCTCTTCCGATTGCGAGCCTTTCTTCTCCGCCCCAGTCGGCGTTGACCCTTCCGCCGGCGGCCCCGGCCATTCTCGCCCGCCTGCCGCATGTCCGGGCGAATCCGGCCCGTGCTCCACGTCCTCACGGATATCTGTTCCCCGATGCATGTCTGGGTCTCGTTCTTCCGGGATGTCACCTCCGACTTCACCCCTCCGCTCTAGTTCGTACTCCGTGCCAGCTCTAGTCCGCATACTAACGCTCCATGAATTGTTTGTATATGATAAGCTCTCCTAGCTTAATCACATTGCCTCATGTCTTGAAACCCTTACTTAATTGCTCATATTGGCGTGAGATCTCACACGCGCACAGATTACAGCAATTTTGTGAGAATAGCACAGAACATACAAACAATGCAGTATCAATTGCCCGTACCCCCTATATCCTGCCTACGCTCCTCCCCATACGGCTACACCACAAGGCTCCCTTGGAGGTGGTGGCCTCCTTGTCAAGACGAAGAGCCATGCTCCCCTTCCTCTTGCCTCCAGCACTTAGCCAACCAACCGGCGATCCTCCAGCTCGTGGCTGTAACCCCAGCTGGCTCGGGCATCCAACTTGCAAGGAAACAAAACATGCACTCACACACGAAACAAAGTAGCGCCTTCCAGCTGTCACACCCCCTTTTCCCCTCCGCTGATGTGTTACCCTATCCTGCATCAACCCATCACCCTTGCCTCGCTTTCCCGTTTCCTCGGTACTCACTTCTCCTGTGGACTGTACAAACATACAGTATGTACACTCGCTTTCCATCAACCTTATCTCGCGACACCCCCTTCAGTTTCGACCTTCACTTTACGCGCCTTTGACTTGCCCGCTGCTTTATCACGCGGTGCATCAACTGCCCCGCGTTTTCAGGAATGACAAGTCCGGACCCACACCTTCCGTGTACCACTCCCCCGTCTTCCTCGCGCTCCTGGGACCTTCACTGCTGCCACATACTCCTCTTCCTCTTCTGCCCCTTCCCCCTCCTCCTCCTCCACATCCTCCTCCTCCATATCCTCCTCCTCCTCCTCCTCCTCCTCCTCCTCCTCCTCCTCCTCCTCCTCCTCCTCCTCCTCCTCATCCCCATCCTCCTCCTCCTCCCCGTTGCCATCCTTCTCCTCCTCTTCATCCTCGTCGTCCCCCTCCTCGTCCTCCCTCTCCTCCTCCTCATCCTCGTCGTCACTCTCCTCGTCCTCGTCGTCGTCGTCGTCGTCGTCGTCGTCGTCCTCCTCCTCCTCCTCCTCCTCCTCCTCCTCCTCCTCCTCCTCCTCCTCCTCCTCCTCCTCCTCCTCCTCCTCCTCCTCCTCCTCTTCGTCCTCCTCATCATCCTTCTCATCTTTTTCCTCCTCCCCCACCTCCGCGTCCTCCTCCTCCGTATCCTCCTCCTCCGCATCCTCCTCATCCTCCTCATCATCCTCTTCCTCCTCCTCCTCCTCCTCATCCTCTTCCTCCTCCTCCTCCTCCTCCTCCTCCTCCTCCTCCTCCTCCTCCTCCTCCTCCTCCTCCTCCTCCTCCTCCTCCTCCTCATCCCCCTCATCCTCCTCCTCCGTATCCTTAGCACCTTCTTCGCAGTTTTTGGGCCTCTTCCCCCTAGCTACTTGCTTGCCCAAGAGTTTTTCGGCCACCGGAGTTTTTCTGCCCTTTGGGTCGGCCCTTCTGGCGCAATGCATGACCCGCTGACTTAACACTTACTTCCCTGGCGCCTCGCGTTTTTCCAACTTCCACGCCATCGACGTCATCAGCTCTGCCTTCCATCTGCCGCCTCTTTGCCCATATAATGATGGAGCCGGCCAGGGCGGTGTCATCTTGTTCCTCCCCCTCGCTCTTTCTCTACCTATGCCTCCTACGTCAACCTGAAGGAGGAGAGCCACTAACACCACCAGCGGCATCATCGTGGCTGCGATAGCCAACATCGGCGATGTCGTGTTGCTCCTCCATAGAATCGTGCTCTCCATCATTGTCCTTCTCGACCACGGTAGCAGAAACTTCGACCACGGTCGGCTAGAGCAGTGTCAGATGGTGCTGCGATGCTTCCGCCTCTGACTCGGTGATGGCTGCATGCTCGTCGCATATAGCGTCGCCGTGGTTTCCCCCTATCGCTGAGCACTCTCTCTCCCCCGACGGATCTGCAAGACTCACGTGTTGTTCAGGATCCGTCACTTTGAGAACTTACGACGAACTCATTTCTCAACTAAACGCAAATTTGCTCAGTAAGATTATGCGCCTTAGGCTTAGCTACCATCTCCAATTCGAATCACTTAGAAAGATGGTCTAGAGAGTAAGAACGACATGAAAACACCCAGCAGCTACATGACTAGAAATGGTGGAGGAAGTACAAGTATTGAGGCATAGAATGTTGGAGTTGGGAACCTCCAAGAGAATCATGAGAGGGAAGGGGTTCTTCAAGAGCTAGGGAAGGATGGTATGAACCTTCCTAGCAGCAAGGATACAACCCTCATTATGAGGTCCTTGAGGTGTCACATGCAAAATCCAATCTAGTTGGATTTTGCCTAGGTGTTGCAACATTTGCAACCAATGCTAGAAACTTCTAGCCACCCCAATTCAAAAGTCAAAGTTGCCTTTCTAACCACCCAACCAAAGGTCCCTTTATAATCATGTCCAAGTAATCACCCAAACTAGATATAACCCCAAAAGGTAATAAGAAATCCAAGTCTTGGAAATCTTGTAACTTGGGCGATATTTGTCGTAATAAGGTGATCTTGGTATTGTTGGAAAGCTCTGGATTTCTCCTACATCATCAAGCATTTAAAATGGGCAAAAAAACGCAGAGATAATAATATCCAAAAGCCATGCACAATGACATATGCTCATGCAAACAATGAACGCATAAATAGCACGAGCATTCGTCACGACGTTAGGATGACATGCACACAGAATAACGTGCATCCAACATCACACTCCCTCGCATCGGATCTTCCTTGGCGCCGATGGTGCCATCGTAAGTCGGGCCGGGCTTGCTTCTATCAGAGGCATCATCCGCATGTTTTTTCACAGTAGAAACCCACACACTTGGCGTTGGTTGCTTCCCCTTGTGTTCCGCCTTCTTCCCGGAATTCTCGAGTCCAAGCGCGGAATTTTTCCCCGCTCCTTTTTTATAGTGACTGCCACGCGCACCAGACGCTTTAGTAGCTTTAAATTTGCCATCACCCTCCCGATCGGTCCGATAAGGTTGCCTCCTTGTCGTGCGTCGTCCGGCCTGGTCATGGAATATAGTATAGGGTTGTAGTAAGGTACTAGATTGAGCTCATGTCACACACACTTTGAACGTCAAAAACTTTTATTTCTGACAATCATACTAAGCACATGTTGAATGCCACCACGGTGAAAGGACGTTGGACGATATCAAAACACGAAAATCACTAGTGCCTAATGGGAAACCGTTGTTGCATGGTATTGGATTAGGCCTCAATCCTAAGGGGATTTTTAACATGGTGCAATAAGGCAGTGGTATGAAGCACACAATGATTGCACAAGCGGTGATATGTTATCGACAACCATGTCTCAACAGGGGTAACGTAGCAGCGTTCAAGTGTTTGGTTTGCAACCAATGGTGAAACCGTTGTGGTATGGTTTTGGATTGGGCTCAATTCTTGCATGGAACTTCAACAAGGTGCATAAAGAGAGTGGTATGAAGCACAGGGCTGTCGCACAAGCGCTGATAGGTTATCTACAACCATGTCTCGACAAGGCGACGTTGCAGTGACCAGGTGTTTGGTTTGCAACCAATGGGGAAACCGTTGTTGTATGGTATTGGTTTGGGCTCATCTCTTCAGGGGACCAACAAGATGTATATAGAGAGTGGTATGGACATTTAGCACGGTGTATAAAGGTCCAACAACGATGTGGTTTGATTATCATGGCATGCAGAGAAGCGATGATATACTACTGCTTTGTGTGAGAATCACTGAACAAGGAAATTGACTGAACTAGCAAGGAGATGGGTACAAGTAGGAAAACCTAGCAGTGTTGTACCCCATATAGTCTACCCCACTACACCCTACACAGACTATGTCATATATGTTTGATACTTTGATGAACATATTAGGTTTCATGCAACACGCTTATATAAGGATATAGAGTTTTTGGATACTTGTCGAATCTTTTATGACCACACTAGAGTTGTGAGAGGGTTTAGAAATATTGCCGTTGTGGTTAAGGGGCTGGTTATGAACAGAGCCTAAAGTATGGTAATCAGATCTATATGGAAGAAATAAGTTTTATGTAAGCTATAACTGTATATTGTCATTACCAAGTTTGGATTAAGGCTCTGGAGGTGCGCACCACTTTGGGCTCACCTACATGATTTTGTTTTCCCTCCTATACCAACTCTCAGAAGAATCACGGCACCAAACAAATCTCTTCCCTCTCTTTCTTGGCCTCTCGACTCTCACGCACGGTTCAAAAACCCAAGTTTTGAATTAGTAGGCACGTTCTTCTCACCATGCTCGCAACGCATACTCTCACCAAGCTTTTGCTCAGCACCTGCATGCTTGGTTCGTGGTCCCTTACCCTCCCCTCCTGTTCCCCCTTTCCAGTCCCTTTCCTTGTCCACTTGGGCTCGTCGTTCTCCCCTCAGTCATGCTGTGTATACAAAGCCTTGTCGGCCCCGATACCGTTCAGACGGCCTGTTTCACCTTCTCCTCCGCTCTCGTGTTCCACCTCCCCCGGTCCTTCCACAGCCTCTAGAGTCATCCCTCACTGTGCTTCACAACCCGTTGTCCGACTACCTCCGTGCCTCCCGTCCTGTCGTCTCCTGTGTTCTGTCCATGTTGGTTAGTCACCTAAGTGGCCCCCCGTAGTCGGTCTCAGTTCTTGTTACCACTATCACTAGCTTTGCCTCTTCCCAACGCCTTGACTACGCCGCTCACCTGGTGATTGGCTTTCCTCGTTCTCTGTCCTATGGGGGTGCTCCTGTGTTTCCCCTAGAGGTCCTCGAGGACAAAGTATTTGAGCTTGGTTTCATGGTGACCGATGTTCCTCATCTCTGTGCCATGACGCTTGCCCCTGAGGGGGATCCAGACGCCCTAGACATCCCGATCCCTCGCACTCACACCGAGGTGGTCTCGGGACCCTGGGCTCTGTATTAGATCGCAATTGAGGAGGCAGACATGGGGTAGACTTCTTCCAGACTTTGCTCCCACCCCAAAGATGACCACTCTTTGAGTGTTGCTGCATATTGCAGCTCAACGCGACTACGAGTCAAACTCCTTGGACTTCTCCACAGGGTTCCTTCAGGAGAGCCTGCACGAGCAGATCTGGTTGCGTCACTTACCTGGCTTCACTGCCTCTTTCCTTCCTGGAACCCAGTGGCAGCTGCGTCAACCGGTCTACGGCCTGTGCCAGGCTCCTCGTGAGTGGGACAAGACACTTTGGCCGCCATCACGCTGACCTGTTCGGCCGTCGCATTCGCACACAAATTGACTGGCCTCACATATCCCACGAACGGTTCATTCACCTCCCAAGTCGCCAAGCGCCACTCTCCGCGCCCGAACAGGACTAAAGAACCCATGTCTCTTCACCGAGTCCACAAGATGACACACGAGTTCATCACATCGCACACTCACTCTGACTTTTATAAATGCCTCATCCCACTGCTCATGTATATAGGCCTTTTCCGCTTCTCGGACCTCATCGCAATCAAATGGCAAGACATCAAGTTCGAGGAGGCGGCGATGTGGCTACTGGTTCCACAATCCAAAATGGACCAAGAGGGCAAGGGAATGTGGGTCCCAATCGCGACCACACCCGGACCAAAGATCACCAACAATTAATCTCGCTTGCGGGCTATGATGCGTACACCAAAGGACCACTGATACTGGTGTTCACACGCAACTCAAAGCTACACTGCACGACCACGCCCCTTCGTACCCAACTATTTGCAATTGGTGTTTAGAAGCATTTCGAAAAGCTGGTCTTGACAACAACCACCTTGCCATACACTCCTTCTGCAAAGGAGCAGCAATGACAGCGGCAGGCATCGGAGTCTCAGATAGGATGTTTAAGCGGTTGGGTCGTTGGCGTAACGACAATAAGACATGTATGTCACCATCGCCCACAACCACTTTGTGGATTCCTCCCAGCTGAATCAGGATCCTACACGGGCCCCCTCCCCAAACCAGGAACAACTGTCTAACCAGCGGCATTGCCGACCGGCCACTTATACGTCTTAGAAGACCCATATGAAATGAAGCATGATGCCTGTACAAGTTGCAGAAAGCAAGCTTTCACATAACATGAATTTTCTAAAGTGTTCGCTTTCTAAAATTGTGTATTGTGAAAGTGTAGCAATTGCCAACGCAGCAAAGGCACCGTCGAATGGCTACTTGCCCTCTTTTGGCTACAAAAAAGGGAGTTGAGGCCATCTGGCCTCACCCACATGCTTCTTTTCAATTTAGAAAGTTTGGGATCCCCACCCTCCCACCCAAGTAGTTATTGTGTGCAATGATTATGGATGTAATCGTAGTTATTATTGGACGAGATTCAAGTACTCATTCCCTTATGTAATGAAGCACGATGCCTTTAGAAGCTACACAAAGCAAGCTCTCACTTTTTTTTTCATTTCTTTTTGTCAGAATGTTATTATCTAGCCTGTAGTGGGGTGCTCTATAGCGAGTACAACCCTGTTAGGGTTTGCTATATGTATCCCAACTACTGCTAGTGAAACCCCTCCTTTCTTCACATTCCTCATTTCTTCACATTCCTCATTTCTTCACATGCTATCAGAGCAGGTCGACCCTCCTGGGTCGTTCCTGTGTATGGGCCCACCACCTCACTGCTTCCGCTGCCACTACTATTCTGTGTGATGCATGCCCCGTGGCGTGCGACGGATTTTTCTTCCCGCCGCGCGCTCGGAGCGTGCGGCGGTTTTCTGCCCGCCGTGCGCCCCGAGGCG